AAAAGAGTTTGAGAGTGAAGGAGAAATTGGCTCGGAAATTCTTATTGCATGAAATTAAGTTTTATCGCTAGCTGACAAAGAAGACGAGTTATGAATTTTGCCCTAGGATCAGCTATATTTCTCTGATTTGGATAAAAAAAGCAATATTAGATTTGAAGTACTAGTTTGACTCTTGATCCAATGAGTTATAATGGTTTTCGTCAGATTACACTATACGGATTTTTTTTCACACTAGACTCGTACAAATGATCTACTTTGTTTTATTGCAGATTCTCTTGTTTTCTTCCAAGCAAAATTAACATCAAATATGGAAAGAAGATTATAGGGTAGATTATAAACTTGACAAATAGTTTTTTTAAAATTATCATAAAGGAGAAGATCATGAGATAATTTTGATGTTGATTGTTTCGAAGCAGTCTTTTTCTCGTCCTTTGTGATATTTTTGGAAACTTTAATGAAAAGTTCAACTCACTGGATTTGAATGGAAAACAAAACAGATTTCACATGTACTGGATTGCCTGAACTTTGCTCCAATATTCGAAATCGTCATCGAGTTCCTCATTTCTATCCTTTTCGTTTTCGAGCTGTCTGCTTTTTTCTCGAAGACTTAATCAGTACCTCTAAGCTTTCCCTGAATTGTGAAGGTCGAGCGATATTTATTCTTCCACAGCAAAAAAATAGCCCAGTCATCACTAGGTCTAGACAAATTTTCTCACAAGATTTGCATCAATACTAGTGGCACAAAAAAGCTCTTCTGTTTTATTTTCCTTTGTCCATGAAAGGGAAGCACAAACCAAAGTAACATCGATTAGGACTATGCTGTTACGTTTCCCCATTAATCATGTCTATTTTATGAAATGAGCCGTATAGTGAACTAATATAAGCTAATCGGTTAGTATATCATTCCTATCATTTGATAAAAAGTCGATAGATTATTTACGTATGTTTTCTTTGTGTATTAATATTAACGCGTAGATCATTATTGATCAGTGTAGGAAGAATAGTGTTGACCGGGAAACTACGACTTACTAAGTATTGGATGAAATGACAAGCCTGCAAGTTCATCTTCGAAGCTAGTTCCTTGGTTAAATTGTAACTATATATTTTATGTCGAAATTAAATTGTGGTCCGATTCAACCTTCTATCAATCAATATGAGCGCCATTGTGCAAAGCGTTGAGATTTCTCACCTACACTGGAAAAAAAAATAAGTATCATACCGAATCTTTTTTGCAACGAATTCTAAACCCTCGGAGGGGTTTTGTATAAACCTTTGATCCCTTCAAAATGATTGTCATCGATCAAAAAGTCTTTGTTAAAGGTTCGGTAGGGCTTTTTAGGGTTTGGTACGAAACCTAAAAAGGTTCGGTAATGTGACCATTTTTTTTTCCAGTGTATTTGAACTGAATAAAAAATCGTACCAGATGTCACGATTTGGCTCACATTTTTTCGTTAGACAGCCGTCGCTTCTATAGCCTAGAATGTTCAGTTAACGATATTGATGAGGGAGTGGATGTGCGTCTTCTTTTCATCCCCACGAAACATTCACATCCGCACCTTTATTTTTCATACCTCTGCATGGTTCTCTTAAAGGAATGGGTTTCAAAATATTAAATGAATGAAGTGATATTTGTTATGCATGAGCATGAGCTATAATTTCAGTGTTGTTCAGACATAGACATGTACCAAACCCGAACTCAACTTCGAGTTTTGATACCGAGCTTTATGGGATTGAGCTCGGTTTGAATTCAAACTTAGAAGCTCGATTGAGCTCGAACTCGAGCATAGATACTCGAACTCGATCGAGCTCAAACCCTTAAAGCTCGAACTCGATCGAGCTCAAACTCCAAAAGCTCGAGTTCGAGTCGAGCTAGAACTCGAAAGTTTGAATTTGAGTCGAGTTCGAGTTCCATGGATCAAGTTTGGGTTGAGCTCAGTGATGGGTGTGGATGTGGGCGTGGGCGTGTGTGAGGCACAACCGAAGGTAATCGAGGTCGAGGAATTCAAATCTGCAATTAGTTTTTCAAAATTTTGAACTTGACCCTTTTTACTAAAAACACTTTGTTAACAACAAATCCCGTTTTTACGCTTAAGCCATTCCTTTTACTAAACGAATCATTTTTCTTACAAAAAAGAACTTTTCGAGTGAAAAAGTTACTTCCTATGTACGAAAGTTCCTTCATTAAAAAGCTGCTTCTAGAGAAAGCAATGTTTTTCGGTAAATAAGCTATGTTCGAGAAGAAAACCAAACTCAAAATTTTACGAGATTGACTTCATATTCGGATTCCCCAACCTCAATTACCTTCGGTTAAGCCTTATAAAAAACTGTTATTTTCTTAAAAAACCCTTTCTTTTATGAAAAAAGTCAAGTTCAAAATTTTGAAAAACTAATTGCAGATTCGAATTCCTCGACCCCGATTACCTTCGGTTGAGCCTCACACACGTCTACACCCACATCCACAGCCATCACTGAGCTCAATCCAAACTTGATCCGTGGAACTCGAACTCGACTCAAACTCGAACTTTCGAGTTTCAGCTCGACTCGAACTCGAGCTTTTGAGGTTTGAGCTCGATCGAGTTCGAGTTTTTAGAGTTTCAGCTGGTCCAGTCGAGTCCGATATTTTCGAGCTCAAACAGTTTGGGTTTGGTGCATGTCTGAATCAGACATCTAATTCAACTATTCTTTGGATTCCCATAGGATTCCCTGTATTCCATGTGATTTCCACGAGATTCTCTGGATTCCCAGGATTCCCATGGGATTCCCGGATTCCCACGGGATTCCCGGGATTCTCGTGGGATTCCCGGGATTCCCATGGTATTCGGAATCCCGGGAATCCGCCGATTCCCCCTTGGGTTAATATCTAGAAAAAATATACATGTATATAGAAATATATAGAAATTTGAGAAAAAATAATTTACCTGAAGATATGTTTAACTAGCGAGAACCCGTGCATACTGCACGGCTGTTTTGTCCTTTCAAGCATAACCTCAGGTATTTAACTTTTCATCCAGTAAAATACATACAGATACTCGATATTATGCATATAGATAGATGGACCTACGGCCTCATACTCTCATATCGCGCATATTTTTATAGTTCATGTAGCCTTCAACTTTATAGCGTTATATTCCTTGCAGTCGTATCTACCTATTGCCTTACTCTTTTCAGAGCCTATGGGTATCACAATATAATCACAACCTAATAGCCCTTGATGGCCTATCAGTACCTCGCTAGGATAGCCCTTGAGGACCTATGACTAACCCATACAATAGCCTTTGGAGACCAATAGGTACCTCCATATAATAGACCTTGGGGAGCTATGGGTACCTCCATAGGATGGTCTATGAGGACCTATGGGTACCTTCATAGGATAGCCATTGAGGACCTATAAGTACCCCATAAAAATGCCCCTGGAGATCTCTCCCTTAGAGTTTTCTTTCACCTTTGACTCTTGACCCGACATAGAGAAACACACACAGACACTGGACATTATATATGAGCTAGTCCATATAATCCACGACTGACTTCATAGAGATCCTGCTCAATCCATGTCATCAGACTTTGCTCAATTTAAGATTTATTGTAGAGGGTAGAGCTTGATAAATTTTGACGCAAGTCGATTCACAAAATATTGATCCTTGAATTTTTTATGAGCATTTTACAAAAAGGCCTAAAAATGACCGTTTACATAAATAAGGGTCTTCATGCAACGACATCTCACGAATAGCTCCACCAAATGAGCTGAAATCTTTTACTGTCATATATCTCAGTGAATTCTATTCGCCATAAAATTTTTATTTTAAAATATTGAGCTATTGGGATTTTATGATGCACTCAATATACAAAAAAAGGTTCATTTATGGTAACTTTGGCACTTCATAACTTTTGATAGTAATGATATATGGCTTACAAATTTTTACCGCTAGTAGGGCACTAAGAGATGTATGTCTCCTGAGAATTTCAGCTGTGCAAACTGTTTCATTTGCTCAGCGCAGTCCCGTGAAAAAACGGAATTTTGATAAATATGGGGACTTTCAGGATAGACCTTCTCCAAAGGTATGAATTGTTTGGGGCGTTGGTTATTCGAATTTAGAAGTACTCTCTTTGGGCTACAACTGTGTAAAAAAATTGGCATGGAACCTCCGAGATTGGCTCCAGGGCACTCATTGCAAAATACGAAAAAATGAGCCTTTTTTAAAAGAAATCTACTAAAGTGCACTTTGAAATTCCTTCAAGGATTCTGCTATGCGACATTAATTTTAACTGGTAAAAATCAGCATTTAATTCTCTATTAAGCTGTATCAAACTATCCATTCAAGATGGAAAAAATAATTTTTACGAAAAATCCCCCAAGCTCCTTTCAGGCCTCTTCCTGTAATATTTTATTCTAACAGCCCCTGTACTTCCCTAGGGGGATTTTTCGTAAAAAGCTTTTTTGCAGTCTGAAAGGATAGTTTGATACAGGGTAATGCAGAATTTAATCCTAATTTACTACATTAAATTTATATCACTTACTCAATTCCTTGGAGGAATTTTGAATTGCACTTAAGTAGACTTCCCATAGAGAAAGGCTCATTTTTTCGTATTTTACAATGGGTGCTCTGGAGCCGTTCTTGGAGATCCCACACTAACTTTTTTACAGAATTGTAGCTCAAAAAGCGTACTTCCAAGTTCTAATGGCCAACATCCCAGACAATCCATATATTGGGAGAAAGTCTATTCTGAAATTTCCCCTTATTTATCAAAATTCCGTTTTTTCACGGGACTGCGCTGAGCAAATGGAACGATTTGCACAGCTGAAATTTCCGGGAGAGATACATCTCTCAGTGCCCTATTAACAGTAAAAATTTGAGAGCCATGCATCATTACGATCAAAAGTTGTGAAGCACTAAATTTACCAAAAAATGGACCTTTTTTCATATATTGAGTGCTTCATAAACTTCCACTGGCTCAATATTTTGAGACAAAAAATTTATGGTAAATAGAATTCACTGAGATATATGGTAACTAGTAAATGAAACAACAGCAGAAAGTGAATTTGAATTGCTTGTGAATGCTACTGAAGAAAATCATGAGAAATATGTTGCGTTTACATTCAAACATGATTTATTAAAAGCAGCACAATATACAGTTCAAGTATCTGCAGGCTGTCCATCAGCCGAAGGTCCATTAAAGGCCATATCAGAGTGGTCAGCTAGCTTTCATACTTATGAACCTTTAAAAATAATTGATTGGTTTCCAAATATAAAGAACACATGGCAACCATCTGTTGCTCCTGGTAATAGTTGGACAGTAACATTCAATAATTCATTAGATCATTCAACAATTAATAAATCATTATTCAAATTCGAACCAGAAGTCAATGGTTTAGGTAATTATAGACGGAATTTGTTTCATGACGCCTTTTCTTATGTCTGTATGCTAATAATGAATGTGTAATTGTAAACAAAGATGATGACGTTTTCTTTATAGGTTATATGAAATCATCTAGAAAATGTCATCATTGATTCCTATTACTGTTTATTTGGTAGTTCACTAACAAAATGTTAACAATATAAGATGTGTGCTTTTGATCAATAGAGAAAAACCAACATGAAATAAAAATTTATCTTAGATATTGAACATACACAACACAATGATCGACAAATCACATTCTATAATAATTCCAAACCAAATACTGTTTATACACCACTTATGCAATCAGCATCATTGAAAGATATTCATGGTCAAGCATTAGAACATGATCATTCTGATAAACTAATTCAATTTCACGTACATGATTCACCATCATTAGTTGGACACGTATCGGGTGCAACAGGTATAGCAAAAAAAAAATAATGCAAAACTAGAATTTTGAAAAAAGAAAAGTTCCAAAATATCGATTTTGTCTATTATAAAATAGGAATTCTTTTCATACAGCAAGAAACATTGATTATAAATAAATAACTAGAAGTTTGTTTTAGGTATGATTACAGTGGATCCTGATGTATTAGATGAACCATTTTACCCGTTTATGGTTTATAATTATTCAGAAGTAATGCTTCATATTCATCGAGTGAAACCAGAGCATTATCATCCAAATTTACCATGTTTTAATTCATACTCTTATACCTATGAAGGAGGAGAATTGTATAATAAATTACCTGGTGAAGAGTTGCTAAATGAAGTTGTACAAACAAACTGTGAACGTGATGAACCGAAAGAAATAAGAGTTCCCTTGAAAACATATTTAACGAAAAACTCTGGAGTAGGTCAATTAATTGTATTAATTGAACCAACAAGAAAAGCATTGAATGAATGTGAAGACAACAATTGGCAACATAGACAAATTATATCAGTTTGGCTACAATGTACACGATTAGCAGTCGATGTATTTGTTTCTTCAGGTACTTATAAATTAAGAGGAAACTAGACAATATGTTTTCAATTCATACTATTGAATTCGTCCCAACCAACAAATATAACTTAACGTTGAATAGATATTACTAGACATTTAATTATACTGAAAATTATCCAGAAAATTTCTTAAAAAGCAAATAATAAAATAAAAGAACTACGAGAAAGAAATAGTTATTCATTTTTCATTGAACTAACTTAGAATTTTCATAATCAGTAGCATATATCTATTCTTATGATTAAAATCATTGTACCAAATATGTTAATGTAAGAGTAACAATGAGACTAAGCTAAGATATTAAATATTATATATAAATACAATGTTGAAATCTCACAAAAAAAACAATAAAATTTGAACCAAGCCTCATAAGTGTGTAGGTGTCTCTCAGTGAAAGGACTAAATCTACAGCCACGCACCGACACGCACACTCTATTATAACTCTTTTCGCATTTCTTTGAGTTTGACTGTGTTCAATAGTGCAGTCAGAAGTGTGTTGGAGTTGTCGAAATCCTGTTGTTTTGTTATGGAAGAACTATTGTACTGATTACACTTATTTTTTATTATAGGCACGAGCAACATTTTGACTGCATGGGTTACTGAATTGATGACTGGTGCACCCATCAATCAAGCAACTGTTTCAATATCGAATAAAAAGAAAGAAACAAATCAACAAGGACTATGTATTATTGAAAAGTACCCAGGGGAGAGAACGATGAAAGAAAAGAAGTAGAAAAAAAAGAAAATAGAATATTAGTCGTAGAAAAAGATGATGATCTATGCATGTCAGTAGATGTTGAGACTTATGCATCGAAGCTTAATGATTATGTCTGGCATGTATTCAATGATCGAGGTTTATATAAACCAAAAGAAGAAGTGCATGTAAAAGGTTATGTTCGATTACTGAAAGTAAAAGGCGAAGCAAAATTACCAGCTTATGCTTATGGTACAATTGATTATAAAATTTATGATCTTCATGGTCAACAACTTCAACAGTCAAAAGTTGAATTGAATAATTATGGTGCATTTGATATAAAATTTACATTACCTGACAATGTTAACTTAGATAGAGTTGTATGTTTGTATTTGTTGCTTTTCCAATCTTTAGCCTTTATATATCCCAGGAATTCTACATATTTTCATTTAACATATATTTGAAAGTAAGATTAGTTTCGTATTCAAAAATATCAATCAAAACAATTTCAAATATTATATTTAGCATCCTCAAGTTGTTTCTTTTTGTAGCAACGAAAATTTCATTAGAAGTTTCCTTTTGGTATGTGGGAAGTCTTCCAACTTAAGTTTCATCTAATAGTTTTATATCCATTGACTTCGATAATTGTACTTTTTCATATTTATGCAGCATTTATTGCGCCAGGAAAGAACTGTCCTTGTTTCATAAGACTCGCCTCTTTAAGTCGATTTGATTAGTACTTACCATTCTAAATGGTTGTTTATAATCAATAGACAGCTAACCTTCAAGAATTGGTTTAGAAGTTATTGGCATTGTAAATAAGAATGAAACTCATAAACTATTCACGTTAAAAAAAATTAAGAATAGAATCCACATCCTCTATATTTATACTTAAAAGTTTCCATTTTATAAAGAAAACTGAACTGCATACACTCTGAAATTGTTTTGACCAGCAGGCAAGTGTTTTATTTAAAATTTTAACTAAAAGTTCAAGTGTTGAACCTCTTTGTTAAAAGTGTAAAATACACCCAACGACGATCATAGACATTTCATTATTGCATAGTTTGATAGACAATAAAAATCTGTAATTATAGTTCCATGCAAAACAGTTATAAGTTTCATTTTGAAATGTTATCTAATAAGTAGTTAAAATAAATGTATGCTCACTCCGGTAGTTTATCCTTTTATTTACAACTGAATAGCTTTTTGAGAGAAATTCATTAGTGAAAAGCTCTTACCAAGATCTGTAAAATTATATAGTTGTTTTTGCAGAAACCTTTTCATGAGAGGCTTATAAAACTCGTTTTATGTGTAGTGAGTTCCTCAAGTGAGTACTTATACGAATTACTGCTAATGAGTTGTTCTGCATGCAATACATTTTTTCGTAAAATATTATAATAAGATTTTTCATCATAAATGTATTGAAAGATAATCGACAACTGCGTTGCACATCACCGCATGTTTCTGAGCTCACCTACCATGAAAATATAGACGTCATTCGAGGACACTTGTTTTCAGCTCGAAGTAATCTCATTTAAACTATTCATCGAAAAATCATAAAACTATTATTTCTTACTAAGACTATTAAGATTTTCAGAAAAAATCGAGAATTGTTTTGTCGAAATTGTATCGCTATCAAAAATGTTCTAGAATGGTCATTTATACCGGAGACTGCTCGAGAAGTCTCTGAGATTTTATAGCACACTTATAAGTCAGAAAAAATTTTTTGAATGATTTCTTAAGAATTTCAGGCATTTTAGATAAAAAAGAACGGCTTTATAACTTTTCTAATTTCATATTTCTGAAGATCTTTTGCAGTTCTTCAGAAAACAATCCTTTTTTTTGAACTGTAGAGTTTATGGATCAAAACCTTATGAATAAGTAATTGCATGATTGGTTTTCAAGTTTTGAAAAGTTTTTAGAGAACTCTAAAGAACTCCTAGAGGCTCTTGTAAGTAGAAAACGTACAGTTAAAATTTAAAACTCAAATTTTATTGTCGTTTGCACGTGTACATTCGGAAGGTTTTCACATGGCTCAATTGAAAAATATTTTTTCCACACAAAAAGACGTCTTTTAGAATTTTCGGATGGGTTTTGGTAGAAATGCAAGCATCAAGGCAAATGTTCTAAGATAAGTGCCCTATCTACAACATGCATTTTCTTCGCTATACGTTTTCTACAGTCATTTCAACTCAATCACATTGAAATTTCTTAATATATTGATCTAATCGAATTCAAGACTTTATCATAAATACTAGACAAAATGATCTGGATGTAGATTTATTTCGTTCTATCTCCTTTTTTTTCAAGTTTTAGAATATTTAAGACGTTTCTTAGCCTTTTTGCCATGATGAAGAAAGTAAAGATGATAGAGTGACAAAAATTATGTACTTGCGAAATGTTGTCTACTATTTATGATAAACCTTTACAGTTGATCAGGTTAGGTGTTCAGAAATCGGAATGAAACAATATCACCAACCGAGTTTTGATAAAGTTGAAAATTCATATACCTGAGATACTTGCAAGAAAAATGAGAAGATAATCAAATGAGTTCTCAATTCAAATAATGATTTCGTTATATGTGGATTGGTTTAAAAGTTCTGTGGCTTCTTATTGAAGTGAACTTTTTGTTCGTTTGAAAACTTCCACTTATTGTATGTATGAACATACGATAATGCCACTGACAACATTGAAATATAATTCATCTTAGAATATAATAACAAAACTTTGAATTCTATCTATTCATTCAATTTGGTCTCTGTAATAATTATAGAAAAAAATAATTGAGTTTTTTTATGACGTATATTTTTCAACAGACTCTAGCCGTTCAAAATCTTTAAATATAGCTCTGCTGCAACGAACTGTGAAAGAGAGAAGTTTAACAAATCAACAATCTCGATACTGTGTCAATATTGAACGAATATAGTGATTCTCATATGTTGCACATTGTACTCTTATCTTTACTTACTAGGATGTATGTGCAAAGTAGGATAGATAGCTGTGTTTTATTTATATGATGACCATTAGCTTAAACAATCGTTAAACACACATCGTTGTAATCGATTTTTGTTATTCACATTCGCACAGCACTCTTGGCTAGATACATAAATACACGCAGCCGACACCTCATCCTACCTTAGTCTAGTTTTGTTATGTACGTGAAATTTACGCGTAATAATATTCACTTCGCAGATAAAGATTGAAAAGACAAAATATCTCAACACACCAACTTAGTTTAAGGAAAAAGTCATCATCTTCCGCCTATTCTCTTTTGATCAGTTAGCATCTGCGACGTACTCAACCTACTCAGACTATTTTACACACCATGATAGTTGCATACAAGTCTGTAACCAAATTTCTGACTTATTTTAAGAGTTTTGTCGTTTCATATGAGACGCTGTGTAACAGCAAGTGTTATACTGCTTCGGAGACAAAAATAAATTCAACCATATATTAAGTGCATATTAAAAAGACCTAAATAAAAATCATTCTCGTTTAATATCTCTTCATTATGGTTGGAAATACAGTACGAGTAATAATCTCTAACAATTAAAAATGTATATCTCTGTGCTCAGCTGTTTCTGTACATAGTTTCTTAAAAGACTATTTTTGTAAAAGTTTGTAAATATAAAGAAGAATTGATTAATTTTGAATTTCTATTATGATAGGTGATGGATACGTAACGCTTAGTTTACCAGATTCACAAAGTAGCACAATGCATTATTTTAAAGTTCAAGAGTTCAGAAAACCAGAATATGAAGTTTCATCAATGCTTCGACCAACAATAGCACGTTATTGTTATCCAATCGTTGATGAATATGTCATAGCTACTTGTCAAGGGAAATTATTTGCTGGTAGTTATTTAAATGATGCAAATGTTCAATGAACAATACAAGCTGAAACAACAACATTTACACCATCTAAAAGATCTGACTATATATTTGGCAAAGCTCAACCGTTCTTTTGCTGGTTTGGTAATAATAATCAAACTGAAATTTCATATCCAGAAAAGTATTTTCAAGTAAAATAATTTTAATTTACGCACAAAAGAGCTATTTGCTCTTAGAAAAAGCAATTTCGAATTAGACTGAAACAAATATGCGCTACGATTATATATGATGAATTGTTAACAGTTAGTTAACAGACACAAAGTATATTGAAAGCTGTAGATAGAAGCACACATGTACCAGTTTCAGCACTTTTCTCAAGTACTATATGATTGAAAATGAGATAATTTGTTCTTAACGAAAATACATGTATATGAATATTTTACTGAAAAATGCATATAAATGAAGTATTAAACAGCTAAAGATACAATCTTTGTGAGATAAACATTGTCCAGCAGTGTGTAACTCTTCTAACTATTTTTGAGTATGTGGTCAGTCAGAACGAAGCCCTCCAGTCATTGTGCATTAATTCGATGAAGAATTACCGTTCATCAAAGCGTTTGTTATCTGTTTCTTTTACCAGATAATGAGAATGTATCTATGTAAAAATAGTCATTAAACTGCCCATTTCTGGATTTTCTATGAGTTGTTTGTTTCCAAGTCAATCTTCCCTTGGTTTGCGACCCTTGTTATTCCTAAAACTACTACAAATATGATCATGATTCGAAAAGTAAGAAGTCTAAAATTATGGAAAACACGTATTTATAAATCATTGGTCGAAAACTACGTAGTTATTTTACTAAATAATCGAAAACTCTAATAAAGAATTTGTATAGAAGCAGAAACTCATTTAATTTAGACAGCTCATTACTATCTTTATTGGATTGTATACAGTTCTTGTATTATGATGCAAGATGTAAAAATGTGAAAGATCTCAAGAACTTCACGTTTTGCAAGCTGAGTTTTTAGAACGTCATTAAATATTCTATAAATTCAACAGAGAATAGTTCAATCGATGTGTTTATCAAGTGATTCCATTGATTTACTTTCAGGGTCAAACAAACAATATAGGTATACATGAAATAAAAATTAGTTATCATGGTATTGAACAAGAGCCAAGAACAACAATTATTCATGCATTAGCAGCCATTACTGATTTAAATAATCAAACATAAGAAACAAAAACACAATTTATCATACATCCATGTACATATTATGTTGGATTTCAATTATTAACAAATTATGGCAAGAAACATAAACCTATACAAACAAAAGTCATTGTAACAGATATTGATGGAAATTTAATTGATAATATTTTGATTGAATGTAAAATAATTGGATATGGTAAAGATAGAAAAGAAGATGAAAATGGTTTAACAGTATTTGAAGAAATAAAAGATGAACAAACATTAACAGTTGTTAGTTCAAATAAGGATGCAGTCAACATTGATTACACACCAAAACTAGGTAGGTAAAAAATTGAACTTATGATGAAAACATAAAGTCGAAGTTCATCAGAGTATAATTTTATATATTAAAGTATGTTATCATTTTCACGTGAGTATAAGCGATTCTATTTAATTTTATCAACTTGTAAAGAGTTGTTTTTCGTAGTCAATTAGCATATTTGTAAATTTTTCGAGCATATAAACATGAATATAATATGTAGTATGTACATTTTACATGTGAAAATAAGTTGGACACGTTTAGTACAACCTCTGTAAGTAAGGAGCACCTGTGTCTATTTCTTCGAAAGTCTGTGCAAATACTATCTTACAGTCCGTCTTAGGTGCTCTCCAGTGTTATTGAAGACATATTTTGTAATTAAATTAAGGATCAATATGAGGTTCGATTTACACAGAACAATACAGATGACAGTTTTGAAATTTTTTCTTATGGATTAGTTATATGACTGCGGTACTCGTAATATATGCTTTTATGCTAATTCTAGTACATTAAGACGAAAGCTAAATAATCAAACAGTATACATCTTGAAGAATGGAGTACAGGTAAATACACTTCAACCTACTCTGACTGCCGTTAAACTCGAAGATAGTATTAATTGATAGAGCTTGAAATTTTGCATTCATGATAACCCACATCAATCTATTATCTTTAAAAGAAAAGGCTTTGATGAAAGAAGGAACGATCACTTCGATAGGCCTGCTCTAATTCACTCCATGCTAAGAAACCATTCCAACTCATTCTAAACCTTGTAATAGCTTAAAATGGCTTGGCGTACTTTGAAATAGATGAGAGTGCATCCATCGAAATGATATTGGATTCTTCCATCACAGGCTTATTTTAAAGAAAGTGTCTTGATCTGAAGTCTTATGAATGCAGAATTCCAAACTCTATCGATTGATATTTTGTTCAAATGAAACAGCGATGAGAATGGATTGAAATGTATTGTAGTGATACTGTACAGAATGAGGCTTGCACTTATATTCTATTATTGGTTCTATTCTTTTCACGCTCTTCAATCCTCTCATCTTTGATCTATACTTTTCAGAAATGAAACCTTTATCTGACCTATAGTAGAGATAACAGAATTATGTATATTCATGCATCATCTTGCATTGAGAATATATTGCAAACGTCATCACAGACAATTCATCACTTTTCATGTACATAATATCTTTTCACTGTTTCGTTTTACCAAAAGAAATGCCTTAAGAGTTTAGATCTTGCTGATCCTCTACTTATTATAGTTAACGAGATGAAAAGTGAATTAAAATAGTAACAGAAAATTCTTTAATTTTTTTTCTAAAAAATACAGCTGCCAAGCGATCACATAAAAAGTTAGTGTATGCTAAGAGTTGAGAACACGCTAACAGCTACTTGTTTTTTGAAACATGATTAATGTGCTTCTTTTAACAACAGTTTTGAAGTTCTGTTTAATACTAGGGGGTAGATACAACATGTCATACAGTGTCAAAGATGAACAAGGACGATTGACTATGAGTTTCTATGATAATTTTTATGTCTCTGGTGGTTACGAAATAGAAATAGAAACACAAAAGGTTGACTATATTCCAACTGATACAATCACAATTGTAGCAAATGCAAAAAATTATCAACCAGATGACACATGTGAATTACTAATACTAGCACCGTTTAGTCCAGCAAATGGTCTAGTTATATTTGACTGTGATGGCCAAGTCTCACAACCAATACAATTTCAGACAGAAACTGGAAAAAATTCAACAACTGTTGAATTTAAAATATCAAAAGATTGGATACCAAATTTCACAGTTCACGCTGAATTAACAGGCTCAATCCCAAGAGAAACAGAAGTGATTAATTCACCACATCGTCCAGCAATCGCTACTGGTTCAGTAACATTAGAAGTATCAAGAGATATTTATAAGTTGAATGTTTTGATTAACACAAAAGAAACTAATAAAACATATACACCATCATCAATTATTCATATAGATGTCGACGTTACACAACATGTAGATAACTCGCATGTGGACAATGCAGAAAGGACGAGTGGCATTAAGGCATGTTTTCGGCCCAAAAAACTACGACCTAAGACACACATATTCGAAATCAGCATCAAATTCTGAGTGGAATAGCGTCTCCAGAATATTAAAAATCGAAAAAAAAAATTTTCGAAAAAAATTTTCCCTAAGGTCGGGGTAGGGGGAAATCAAAAAAAAATTTTTTTAAAATTCGATCAAAATAGTACCTAATCCAACACATTAGACTACGCTAATCACAAATATCGTAATTAGAACTCCCAAAAATGCTTTATTGTCAAATAACATCCAAAACAATAAATAGCCCCGGACCGTATTTTTCTCAATTTTGTCCTCTCAGTCAATACCGATAGGGCCTAGAATGAGCTGAAACAATCTAATCATATGTAATTCACTGTGCTCTATCTGATTTCAAAAGAATTAGGCCGATCAAGCGTAATCTTAATCAATTAAACGCAGATTACCGCCCCGATTGCCCATGGGTAATTATCCTCGAGTTTGTTGATGACCAAACGTATACTTAGAAGCGGCGAACAAAAAAGATACTTTTATTGCGAATACATGAGACTATGCTCTTTCTAATGATATCTTTTTTTAACCGATTTTTCATGTAGAAAGTTCCCATCCAATCTCATCAATCCGAGTCATCAAAATGCGTTTTTTGCCAAAATTACGATATTTGAAAGGATCGATCTTGAGCAAAATCAGGTGTATAAATGTCAGAGTTGTCTGGTTTTAAAGTACTCACTAAGTACTCCAAAGCCCTACAAGAACTGGCTTGGGATATTGTAGAATAGTCTGAAAAAACTTATTGCAAAATATCCAAAAAATTAACCTTTTTTCCATAGAAAATATGCTTCAATTCATTGAAAAAGTTAGCGAAGTTCAATCATATGAAATAAATTTTCTCTTATATTATCAGCATATGATCGTCTCTGAGTATTGATGAAACAATCACACCCAAATAACAAAAAATTTTTTTTCATATTTTCCCGTACCACCCTCCAGGGTTTTTAGTCAAAACGCTTCTCAAAAAGTCCTGTACTCCCCTACAGGAAAATATGAAAAAAAATTTTTTGTTATTTGGGTGTGATTGTTTCATCAATCCTCAGAAGCGATCNTTACGTCCTTGTAAACTGTCGTCTTCGTCAAAATACGGCCGTGTTACGGCAAAGATTTTGATGTAAACGATTGTCGTTTTTCGCCGTATACGACACGGTCTCACACGACCGTAATACGGCGCATACCAAACGGGTTATTTACGGCCCGTATACGGTCGTAATTTCGACGGATACGGCCGTTCACGTCATCGTAAACGACTGTGTACGGCCGTTTACGGGCATAGTAATGTTCGACCTGGGATTAAGAGAAAAGGAGACAATTTGATTTCAATTCATACTATTGAATTCGTCCCAACCAATAAATATTACTTAAGGTTGAGTAGATATTACTAGATCCTTAATTATGCTGAAAATTATCCAAAAAATATCTTAAAAAGCAAATAATAAAATAAAAGGATTACGAGAAGGAAATAGTTATTAATTTTCAGTTAAATCATCTTAGAATTTTCGTAATCAGTAGCATATATCTATTCTCACGATTAAAATCATTTTACTGAATATGTTAATGTAAGAGTAACAATGAGACTGAGCTAGGATGTTAAATATTATATATAAATAAAATGTTGAAATTTCACAAAAAAAGCAATAAGATTTGAACCGAGCCTCATAAGTGTGTGGGTGTCGGTCAGTGAAAGGATTAAATCTACAGCCACGCACCCACACGCACACTCTATTATAACTCTCTTCTCATTTCTTTGAGTTTGCCTGTCTTCAATAGTGCAGCTAGAAGTGTTTTGGAGTTGTCGAAATCCTGTTGTTTTGTTATCGAAGAACAGTTGTATTGGTTACACTTATTTTTTATTGTAGGCACGAGCAACACTTTGACTGCATGGGTTACTGAATTAATGACTGGTGCACCCATCAATCAAGCAACTGTTTCTATATCGAATAAAAAAAAAGAAACAAATCACCAAGGACTATGTATCATTGAAAAGTACACGACAGATAACGATGAAAGAAAAGAAGTAGAAAACAGAGAAAATAGAATATTAGTCGTAGAAAAAGATGATGATCTATGTATGTCAGTAGGTATTGAGACTTATGCATCAGAGCTTAATGTTTATGTTTGGCATGTATTCAATGATCGAGGTTTATATAAACCAAAGGAAGAAGTGCATATAAAAGGCTATGTTCGATTACTGAAAGTAAAAGGGGAAGCAAAATTACCAACTTATGCTCATGGTACAATTGACTATACAATTTATGATCCTCGTGGTCAACAACTTCAACAGTCAAAAGTTGAATTGAATGATTATGGTGCATTTGATATAAAATTTACATTACCTGACAATGTTAACTTAGGTAAAGTTGTATGCTTGTATTTGTTGCTTTCTCCATCTTTAGTCTTCATATATCGCAGGAACCCTAGATCTTTTCATTTAACATATATTTGCAAGTAAGATTAGTAATGTATTCTAGAGCATCAGTCAAAGCAATTTCAAATATTATATTTAGCATCCTGAAGTTGGTTATTTGTAGCAACGAAAATTTCATTAGAAGTTTTCTTTTGATGCGTGTAAAGTCTTCCAACTTAAGTTTCATTTACTGGTTTTATATTCATTGACTTCGATGATTGTACTTTTTCGTGTTTATGAGGCATTTAATCGCCAAAAAAGAACTATCCTTGTTTCGTAAGACTCGCCTCTTTAAGTCCATTTCATTAGTATAGCCCGTCCAAAAAGTCCGTGTGTGTGACTGTTTTTTGAATAACTCGAGAACGCAAACAGCTAGAGACCTGTAGCTTTCACCAATCGAAAGAGGAGGAGTTAGGGCGTCTTTTTCTCTGATAATGTATCAGACGAAATTCTTTTAAAACTGATCATTTTTGAAAAATATAGAAAAGAATGCATGAAAATGACATACAATACACGTGAAGTTTCGATTATGACCTTTGATTTAGATAGAGNACCTCGAGGTTTCGTACTGGGTTCCCTATAAAACTATTATACTAGATGCGAAACTTTAAAGGTTTCGTACTTTCCTACAAAACCTTTTTTTGGTGTACGGAACTTAAAAAGGTTTCGAAGAAAAAAAGATCTTCACTTGGGTACACGGTAAGATCCTTTAAAGGTTCCGGTTTTTTTTTATTCGTTTTTTTAAACTTTCAACATATTTGCAAACTTTTTGTCATCTACCGAACCTTTTTTTGAGGTTCCAGAAAGTACCTTTTTTTTTTTTACAGTGTATGGGTATGGGTGTGAATATGAGTCTGAGTGTAAGCAATCACTCACACCCACACCCACACCCAAAGAACAATTAAAACATTTGTAATAATATATATGATGGTCTTGTAACACTCTCATTTTTTGCTGTATTCAATAAAGTACATCCTAATTTGCTCACAGATTTATTGAAATTATATTTATTGAATTGCAACGAGTTAAGAAGCGCGGTTCTGTGTGATATTCTGCTAAACAAATGTCTCAGGAATCCGTCGTACGAAAAATCATGAACAACTGTTGAAGAATTTAAACGATTTGTCTAAAGCTTTTGTCATTTCACTCGAAGAATCTTAGTTTTATTTCAAATAAGTGTATCTGCAACAGAGATGTCCATCACGGCGCGGCAGCGGCAGGTTTGTTTTAGAGATTAATGCGGCGCCGCAGATCATTTAAAACGGCACCGCGGTAGCGGCGCGGTAGCAGCTATTTATTTTTTTGGCCACCGTGACAGCGCCGCGGCGTGAGCTTTTACAGAAATTCACTGTGTAATTTCTAGAAACAATCTTACCTTCGGAGCTTATATTAAACTAGTCTTCCCAATAAATTAGACAAATTAAACTTTTTATGTTCTCTAAATCTTGCATTTTACGATGATTTTATTGTATGTGAAACTGATGGAAGTTTTAAGCTATGTAAGTTAATTAGGATGATAGTAGAAATACACAGATTACGATTTGAAAGTGTTTATTGTATCGTCTTACGTGTAGTACATATTTTTAATATCATTTTAAGCTACATGCTTTGGTCGCTAAAGTCTGTTTCTATGCTTTTTCTTTATTAAGAAGGCGAAAATATGATAAGTAACCATGATTAATCAATTTGTTTTAATGTTACTTTTTTTAATTTTTTCCGGGTCTAGATCTAGCAAACTATTGCAAATTGAAAATGTAGAATAAGTCTCTGTTAACACCTTGCATATTAATGCATTTTATAATTATTTTTTTTGTTTTTTAATTATATTTCCTAAACCCTCTAATCATCTTCAAAGTCACTTGAATTTTCATTTCTCTTTGAATTGAAGCTATTACGTGAAAAATTAAAAAGCTGCCATTTTCTTCAGACTCTTTCGTTGTTTCACAAAGAACTTAAAAAGTCGATGTGGTCTTATGAGTTATACTTATTCTATATCTACTTAGAAGTAAGTTGTTACTATAACAATTAAACTGTTACTCCTCATTGATTTTAAGGGAAAACTCGACTGTATGACTACTGTAGACCGACAAATACCATTTTTTTTCTTCATGTAGTTATAGTAGCAGTATTGTAACATTTTGCTAAAATATCGCTGTGACAGCGGCAAGTTTTTTAGCACATCGTGGCGCGGCAGCGCCGCGACGCCGATCTATGTAAAAGACAGCGGCAGATTTTCAGCCGCGATGGACATCTCTGATCTGCAATCATTTTTCAAATAATCATCGTGAATTAAAATAACTAACTTGATTGTTTTCAAAATATTTTAAAACTCTATTTACATTGAGTTTCTTTAGAAATTATTTTATTTCTTCTTGGTGATTCTTGATTTTCAACTCGACCACATGTTTTAAAATCAGGTATGTATGTGATTGTGGATCAACTATAGCCTCATACAATACGCTAACATAGCACATCCATACCGAAAACCACATCTACTCAGCTATATCCACACCCTCATTTAACAGCAAAAGAAGCGAATCCATGTGAAACATTTTTACATAGAAGATTGAGAAAGTATTTTTAGTTTAACATAGAAATTAGTAAATCATCATTAACTTGTTTAATAAAACTTATTGATTGAACAGAAAGATACTTTTAATATTTAACTTGATCATTAGCAACTCAATCAAGATTTTCTTTAACAGTATGACCTAGATATGAATTTCATCAGAACCGGTTCAAATTTCTTAATCTGCGAACATTTCATAAATAAAAAGGAACACATTAATAAAAATGAATCAACAATTTATCAATATGAAGAACTAGTTAGTATTTTAGACGCTAAATATTAAAATAAAATTGTTTCTCTCAATAATAATTAGTAAAATTAAAAATATAAGATTATTTTCGGTGTAACACAAACTATAACTATAATTTTCTCATAAATAATCATCAAAAATATAGTCGAATCAGATGTAGCGTTGAAGCTCGGATCCTGTTAGATAATGAAAAGATCCAATGAAACTTTTTTGATCTGAGACTCTCTCATTTTTTTATTGGCTGTCACTCTCGACTACTATATTTTCATCATATTCTTATCATGTGACCATGTTATTTCGGTAGTAGAGAAAAACATTGATTGCACCATCATCAAGTCATGCAAAGTAATTTTGTTTTTGTCGTTCTTTTCTTCTCAAATATTCTATGTTGGTAATTGCTTGTGCAATAACATCGTCAACTATATAAAGTCGTGTTTTGAAGTCCTTTTTCTGCATTCCAATTTTGATCATCAACTGCGTGTTGTGCAACAAAAGCACACACCCGGCGGCTTAACAACCAACTCGATGGCAGATTGGAAACGTGTGCTCTCGCTGGTGAAAGACTTGCTTATGCAAAAACAATATTCGTACTTCGAATTGATTTGGACTTTTTATGTCTGAGTTAGAAACCCGGCTTCCGGTGTGTTTCGATCATAACGAAACCCTGCTATCGTCGCGTAATATCGACGCTTCGGGTCGATCGAACATGTCGAAGGCCACCAAAATTGAGATTATATTTGTTTGTGTTGATTATATTGAATTACACAACAACATATGAAATCTCATTGGTGAATCTTCGATGTTTTCCACATTTGTTCATGAAGCCGAGTATCGAAGAGACGAATATTAACATCCGTAAGACAAATCTATGACACCTTCTGAGAGCATATGTTTTTAATCTATATGGAAGGTTTATAAACTATTAAAGTAACTATTAGATAAAAGTAAGTATTTTCAGTTTGATTTGATTTCTATTATAGTTATTCGATGTTTGTCCTGTGTGTCACATATAAGTATAAAACTAGAATGCTGCATAAATTTCACTTACACATGTGATGAAATTGAAAGCAGCTCAATAAATTATTTCTTCTAGTTTATTTTATTTTATGCTAATGGTATACTTCAGTGAACAAAAACTTCATCAAGATATCTGTTTCAACATTAAAACATCTTTTATGCTGAATTATATTGTATTTTATTTTTCTTCGAAATATTTAAATAAATAAAGTTTTTATCGTCACTAAATTATTCATTAAGAATAAAATCATGGCCATAAAACTCTTTACTTTTGTTTTCATCATCAAATACTTCCTACTTTGTTATATT